ATTGTATGATAATGTGACATTTATATAATCGCTTTATTTAACAAAACCTAGTTCCAGGCACTATTCTAGGTGCTTAATAAGCATTATCCCCCTAACTTACCTATTAGGTGATTACTACTATTCTTTTTATTTTTCACAGGAGGAACAGGCTCAGAGGGCATAGGTAACTTTCCCGAGGGCATCTGGTGAGAAAGCAATGGAGCAGGATTTGAACCAAGTAAATTGGACACCCTTGACCTGGTCATGAGCCTCTTGGGAGCAGACAGGTCACATTTTTGTTTGTATTTCCACAGGCCTAGCCCAGTCCCTGGTCATTAAGATTGTTTTTTAAACAAATGAGCACAGTATTCAAACCTGTTGATGGACCATAACTTATTAGCCTGTTCCCAAATTTCTCTGTATAATTTGTGCTGTCATGAAATCTGTTTTACAAATTACCTTGATTTCACTGGGGTTATTTGGGGGTAAATGACCCCAGGTGAAATGATTCAAGAAGTATGAACAGTTTTATAGATGATTGCTTAATCACGCTCCAGAAATTTGGGATTTAGAATTTAGAATTCCACAAGCTGTTCTTAGGCGTGCCTATTTCATCATAATATCTTCAGGGTTTTGTTTTTATTCTAATCGATTAAAAGTGAATTTAGAGGGGGCCAGTGCTGGCCATGGGTTGATGAATGATGAATCGTTCCAGGATTACCGTGGGGATGATGAGGTTTGGAGTCCTGGAACCCTGCTGAAGTTTATTAGCTCACTGGGAAGTTACAGAAGCTTCTGTCATTGGAATGGAGTGGGTTCGTTCAATCTAATGGATGGAATCTGGCCCAGGAAAAACCTATCCCATTCTTTTAGATTAGGTTGTTCAGGCCCTATCACTGCCTCCCAAGCCCTCCTCAACCACCCCCAGGGCCTGGAGTCCTCATTTCCCCCCCCTACAGAGACAAGCCACTTCTATTAAATTACAAATGATGGATGATAGCTCAGAAGTGCCAACTTCCTTGTGACAGATCAGAGCTTAAAAACAAAACAAAATGCAACAACAGGGGAATACGAATACGAACCTTGCTGTGCGATTTTCTGTCCCTGAAGGGATGGGAGCTAAGAGGGAAGACCGGTTCTTCTGGGCCCTAGGCCATGGGCCGGACTGCTGGCCCAGCCTGAGAGGCCACCGAATAAATAAGGGCTTCCTTCAGTTTTTATCTGAACCACGGGGGGTAGATCCTGGAGTTTGGCGGTGGGGCCTGCAGAATCCTGAAGAGAAGATTCTAAAGCCGGGTACTTGATGAGCAGCAGGTGGCGATCCTGGTGGTGATGTGGCTAATAAGAGGAGCTAAAAACCATCATGGCTTCTCTGGGTCAACACAAATGTCTTTAACCAGGATGCCTTCCAACCTTGCCCCGTTCTTATTCTTATATCACAGTAATCTAAAAAGTAACTCCCCTGCTTTAATTATCTTCCAGTGGATTTTTCCCCCCACCTAGCCGAAAATCCGAACACTTTCCTGTGGGCCACGGAGCCTCTCCCAAGCTCCCTGGTCTCTCCCCCTCTTGCACAGGCTACAATGGCCTTCTTCTGCTTCCTGAAACAGGCTGGGCGCATGCGCACTCCTCATCCCAGCTTTGCACTGGCTAGTCCCTCTGCCCACCTGCAGCTGACAGCTGCTTTTTCCTCTGCTCAAGTGGTATCTCCCTAGGGGAGTCTTTCAGTACGTCTACACCACACTCCCACCTCTGTTCTCCGGGTTCTCATCGCTAGAACAGAAGCTCGGCAAAAGCAGGAGCTTGTCTTTTCTGTTCATGTCTGGTGTTCGCAACCCCTAGCAGAGGATATTGCACACAATAAATCTTGATCCTTACAAGCCTGGGATGTAGGTATTATTGTTGCTGTTTTTCAAATGAGTCTTCAAGAGATGGCCCAAGGTTGTACTACTTTAAGTGTTCAAACCATAATTCAAATCCAGATTTTTCCACTAGCAGTGCCACACTGATTCTAGTGACCCAGGGTGTATTAAAGACCCAGTGTCATCAGATCCATTCAAACAGCCAGCTCGCTTATGACTCAGCCTGATTTCTTGCTATACTGGTTTTCAGTGCACACTGCATTCAAAGAAAGATGTGGAAAGGACTAAATGCAAACTAAAGACAAGCAAGGTGAGCAGAAGACGTACTGGGGGCCTTGTGAAAACAACTATGCCTAAAAGTTAAAGACACCAAAGTGCCTCAATGCTGTAAGTTGATTGATAAGTGTCTTAATTATTCATGAATTGCCTCCTTTTTGGCAACTGGGGAATGCTTTGCTTAAAATAACCAAAGCATGTCCTTTTGGTTTAAAAATAGACACGTTACCATCAACTGATGAATGAGTAAACAACATGTAAGTGCATCCATACAATGCAATAGCATCTGACTATAAAAGGAACGAAGCACTGACGCGTGCTACAGTATGGCTAAGCCTCGAACACACTACGCTAGGGGCGCCTGTGTGGCTCAGTCGGTTAAGCGTCTGCCTTCAGCTCAGATCATGATCCCGAGGGCCTGGGATGGAGCCCGCAAGGAGCTCCCTGCTCAGTGGGGAGCCTGCTTCTCCCTCTCCCCCTCCCCCCGCTGTGCTCTCTGTCTCCCAAATAAATAAAATCTTTTTTTTTAAAAAAGAGACTGAAACACAAATGTACTAAATAAAAATTAAAACCAGGGAATGCACAGATATTAAAAAAAAAAAAAAAAGCCCAGGTCGAGTACAGTTTGAGGATATCTGTCTCTGGGCGGCTGGTGCTGGTCCCGACCCAATGGGCAGGGCAGGCCCCACGTGTGAGGGCTGCTAACTGGGCTCCAGGAATCTGCCTCTGCCTCTTTCTTCAGGACGTAAAAGCAAGTGGCATATTGAGGACAGCTCCTGAAGATATTAACAGACACTCCCTGCAGGCTGGCCCCTGATTCACCTGCTCCCCTTTCAGAGCCCAGCATTACCCACTTAGCTGCCCAAGGCATTCATGTGGACAGGAGTCCAAATGATTTCATCTGACTTACTGTCTTGCTTTTGCAGGAGTTGGAGTAGTTCCACAACAAATGGACTCAAGCATACATATGCCCAACTATTAGAAAATTGGACGGTCGGAAAAGTTCCAAACTGGCTTTCAAAGCACTGCATGGTGTGGCTCTGCTCACTCCAGGGTCTGCTTCCAGCCCCATGAGCCTGTCACTGCTCCCATCTGATGTACTTACTGCCACCACCTCTGCTCCTACTGGCCCCCCCGCCCCCACCCACTCAACAACCTCTCCTGCCTTCTCACTGAAACCAGACAGCACGTTCTCTCTGGGGCACACTGCCTTCGCTGCCTGCCAGGCAGCTTCGCCTCTATTCTGCCAGCACCCTGGTTCTCCCCTGCTGGGCAAATCTGTCAGCAGTTGGCTCAGGGAGCGAGCGACATGTGAGTTACAGGAGACCCATGAGATTTAGGACTCCTGGGGCTTTTACTGGAGCCACTGGTAAGAGATCTTCTTTCTCCAGGAGTTGAGCAACAAATAGGAACTGCTGGGGGCCACTGTAGCTGACTGTTGGGAGCAGAATCCTGATGGCGCTGTTGGAGGCTCTGGATTGTGACTGCACTTCTAGCACTTTTCCAGTTATGAGTGCCAACGATTTCCCTTCTTCCTGCTGGCTGGTTGCTTCCAACTGGAGAAACACTAATGCACCTTCCAGCATTTACCGTGGGCACAGGATAGGCACAAAAGTAAGGTTTGTTGACTTGTTAGTTTGTTGGCACCTATGTCTAGAGTAGTTAGGCAGAATATTTTTTACATTAAAAATCGTTATTCTGGTAAAATGTACATTAACATTCACCATTTTAATCATTTTAAGTGTAGAGTTCAGGGGTATTAAGTACAGTCATCTTGTTGAGCCACCATCACCACCATCCATTTCCAGAACTTCATCATCCCAAACAGAAACTGTACTCATTCAACACTAACTCCCTGTTCTTTTCTCTCCCCTTGTAACCTGGTAACCATTATCTTACTTTTTATATCTATGAATTTAATTACTCTAGGTACTTCTTAGAAGTGGAACCATACAGTATTTGTTATTCTTGTGATTGAGCGGCTCCTTTCACTTAACATAGCATCCTCAAGACTGGTGCATGTGGTAGGCAGCACGTATGTGCCAGAATCTCCTGGCTTTCTAAGGCTGAACAGTATTCCAGTGTGTGGACAGACCACATCTCGTTTATTCTCTTGCTGACTGACAGGGTGTTTCCACTGGTTGGCTTTGTGGATCACACTGCTGTGAACATCAGTGTGCAGTGTTCAAGTCCCAGCTTTCAATTCTTCTGGGCTATGACCACAGCTGCTGGAGCACAGATGATTCGCTTTCCCTTCAGGACCCATCATGCTGTTCTCCACAGTGGCTGCCTCAGGAGTGCCCCAAGGTTCCAGTGTCTCCACGTCCTCACCGATAGCTGCCATTTTCCATTTTGGGGGAAAATATTTAAAGGTGGAACTGTGGTAACACTGGGAACCAAGCTTATTCTTTCAGCAAGTCCAGAGAAGGACATTCGGCCTGAAGTAGTTCTTACGCTCTTTGGCAGCATCACCTCTTTAAAAACCCCTACTCTTGTCACCTACTGACAGGTCGGGTGACATCTCTCGGTCAGGGAGGGAAGCACCGGCCAGGTGATTGGCCACTCCCACTTTCCCAAGGAGGGGAGAGGGAGGGAGGCTGGGCACATTTGGATTTGTGGATAACAGTTCCCTCACACCTCCATGCCCGCCATGTTTTCAACCACAACAAAGTCGCCTTTTCATTAACCCCAGGACGCTCTTACAGAGAACAGGGAAGCTGTGGCACACCACGCACTCAGGGTGTGTTAGTTAGGTGAGGTGTGTTAGAAGCAGGACCTCCCCTTTCCCTGATTCCCCTGGCTAGGAAAACTGTCGCTTGAGCCCTTAGGAGAGGATGCAGGGCACGTGAAACATGAGGTCCCGGCACAGGCCGCCATCTTGTAAAGGCTTTATTTCTACTTCATCATGGTCTCATACAGACTCCGAGGCACCATCCTTTGATTCAGTGTGGTACCCTCCTGACTTTTTGTAGTGCTTTTCCTTAAACAAGAAAATTTTGAGTAAACACTGTATATTGCCAGTTCATCGTTAACAATAATTTAAAAATGCCATTGCTGTTGTATCTCGATGCAAGAGGACAATGGTAAAAGTACAGTATGAGGGATTCACAACGTATTACGGTGGGACAGATGACTCACACTTACAGGCAATGGTGAGACCACAGTAGCGATATGTACATGCACCCCAGCGCTTCGAACCCAAAGACGTGCGAGTCGAGTAGAGGATGTGGATTATACAGCGAATTTGGTAAGCCCAGCTGAGGACTCTGTACCTTTGTAAGAATGCAGATGCGTATCCCCTCCTGTAGAGAGGATTTCTGTCTTGTCGACTGGCTTCATGGCTCTTTCACTACAAAAAAGTTCATTGAATCAGACAGTCTGACGCATTTCAAAAAATTCTTAAAAAACAAAAACACTGACAAAATAAAATCAACTTAAAACAGTCTAATTCAACGTGGAAATAAACCAAACCAGTGTAACAGTGCAAATTTAACAGAGAGGCAGTCAGTATTGAGAGCAAGGGTGTTCAGAATCTCTTAAAATGTACATCTTTAAAACTTTTATTTTTTTAAATTTATATCTTATCTAGCTTTTTTTTGCTTAATATACTGTGTGTAAAAAAGATGGAGACAAAAATAGTTTTCTGAGCTATGAAAAAAATTAAGTTATTACAGGCACGTTTACGGTTTCGTTCTAGAAACATCTCAGGTTCACAGGTTGGACATTCAGCAGCTGTGTGTTTTTTAAAAAACATTCTTTGACCTTGGGAAAGCTAGATCTCTTCTTGTGGGCGGAGCTTGGTTGATGACAACGGTGTGGTTATGCAAATTATAGGGAATCATTCCCCGATAATCCATGCAAACTTGCAGTCGTCACAGGTGTGTCTTCTCCCCGGGTGGCTCCTCGTCGCCGAGCTCCTCCAACGAGGCTGGGTCTCCGGGTGACTGAGCCGGTGAGGCAGTAGGGGAATGGGAGGCCCAACGGGACGGAGGGCGACGGTTTGCTGGTCTCTCGGGCCTGGAGAAGCAGGGTTCTAGGGATGGAGCTAGTGCAGAACAAGGTAGTTCCTTCAAAGCCGAGAAAGAGAAAGACAGGGTTACTCAGACTGACAGTTCCTTGGGGGGGGGGGGGAGTGACTCTCCCCAAACACACTTCTCAACAGACTCGAGGTCAATGCAATGGACCAGGGGCAACTTCAGAATGTTAATTTATATTTGCTCAGGGAGCATAATTTAAAATGTTAAGTGAAAAATTCAACTCGGATGATCAGTGGCACAGTAATGAGAAGATAGCAAATTATGATCAAAATATGGCAATGCCGTGAGATGGATATGTTTGCGCAGCATCTTCAGAATTGGGCTGGAGCCGATGGAAGGTGGGGAAGGCCACAGGCCACCTGGTCACATCCTGACCCGGCTGACCCCAACCTTTTGGCGCTCCTGAATGATCTACTAGCCACAGTGACCCGGGCCTAAGAGGCCAACCTCCCTATGCTTTGGTCTGTTGGAGGCCCATGAAGAGACCCATGATTTATCCAGCTGCATTAGCAACGAGACTCACCTTAAAACGAACTCTGCTACTGCTTATTCCAAGTTGACTGGCAGTGGGTTAAACAAACTCCCACCACATGGAAAAAATGCTGCAGGCAGAAATTTTTTAACTTTGGTCTAGTTTTAATGACCTTTCCTTGCTGCAGCATTTTAAAAAGTGGAATCAGAGTGCTTGTGCTTCTGTCACAGGCATCCTATGCCTTCTGAGAATAGATCATGCACGACACACTCAACCGGGGGGCCAAGCATCTATCATACTTCTCAAGGGCCCGTGCTCCTTTTCTAGTGTTAATGAGTGTCGATCTACTTAGTCTGCAGGATAGGAACCAAGGATGCCCACACCTGGAGCATGCTGGTGCCCGGGAGGGCCGTGGGGGCGTGAGAAAACGGTGAGTTCCACAGGGCGGAACCCGGCCGCCCAAGGGACACTCAAACGAGAAAAAGCCGAGATGGTAAGCCACTGCAACGAAGAATGCCAGAGAACACAGGCGCTCAGAGCCCGTCAGGAAAGGCGGCAGCGGACCGACAGAGATGTGACGAGCAAGCGCGCAGAGGCCGGGATGAGGGCGGTTTAGTCTGCGGAGCAGGGAGTGACAGCAGAGACCAGACGGTGGGCTGTGTCCATGGGCAATGGGAGAAGGAGGGGGAAGAGGGAAGGCGAAAGGTGGAGCGCCGGCGTGGTGCTTCTGGAAGACTGATGGAGTGAGGTGGTCCCCGCCTCCCCCCGGGCCCAGCGGAAAATTGCATGAACACTGGAGACTACTCCTAACCGTCCGGGCCTCTTTGTGACTGCACGTCGTCGTAGCACAGTATGGGGAAGCCTTGATTAGAAAAGCACTCTGCTGATGGGAATCATGGCAACCAGGAAGACCTCGCCCACGAAGCCCAGCCTGAAATAGCTGAAATGCAAACTAGGCGGGGCGAGCTGTCCTCCCCTCACCTCAGCCCCTCCCTGCGCATGCCCCGCTTATGCGGGGCTTGGGAAATCTGCCACCTCTTAGTCTTTTTCTGTCTCTGCTCCTGGTATTAAGATTTGTGTGTTGTGTCGTGTTTGTATTGTGTGTGTTGTGTAGTGTATAAGCGTGTTGTGTAGGTGTGGCATCATGTGTCGGAGGATACGCTGTGTGCGCGTTGTGGGCCATCTTGTGCGTATTATGTGCTGCATGTGCTGTGTATGAGTGTGTGGTGTGTGTTACACGTGTGGCAGGGTGTTGAACGTTGGGATGGCTGCTACCATAGGTTTTTTTCCTACACCACTGCAGCCCTTTTCCACCTGGCCGATGCTGAACCAGAACGGGCTTTTGATCAGACAGTGTGGTGCCACCTCTTCCCCGTGTGAACGCCTAGAAGAATTGTGTGACCACGGGTTCAAGAATGAGCCTTTTCTTTAGTAACACACCAGCACAGACAAGCAAACCATCTTGTCCTTCCCTGAAAGGCTACTGCAGTGGGCTATGCGGCCATTTTATCTTGGGAGCACCTTTCTCGTCTTTCAGAGCCAATCGCATTTTTGCATTTAGCACTCCAAGTTAAGACCAGTGGGTGAGGTGGGTGGGCAACTAATTCTTGATCAAATGCTATGCTGGTATTTTTTCAGCCTTGATTCAGGCTCAGCAATTCTGAGGCTATTTTTTGGAACAAGGGATGGCTTTGCTGTTGATTCATTATTGAGTGCTTACTGTGTCATCTATGGTGATCACTTGGAAGGACAAGATACATTTGGATTTATTCCTTCTGGTGCAGTTGTTGAAAAAGAGAGAAAAGCTTCATTGTGTTAAGGTCACACCTCATTACAGCATCTGGTGATGTGCATGTGCCTCCCGAATACCAGTGAGCAGGTGCAGCTGACTGGGAAAACACTGGGCTCACAGACCCCCACAGGCCAGGCCTCTATGCCCGAGACAGTCCCCTCTCTGGCCAATATTCCTTTACCCCCTGAAAGCAGAGAGCAGAAATCTCTGGAATGTCTGGCCTACCAATCGGTCCCTGAATTTTATGGACCCCAGGCCAGTGCAAGCAGGTGGCGGGCTCTATGGACAGGGCAGATCTATCCGGTATGATTCGGCCTCATTTCTGAGTGTCAGATACCAACCCCAAATTACACAGAGGACCTTTCCAGATGGTGTGCAAAGAAGGTAGAAAGCACTTACGGCGTGAGGCAGGCAGGGCTAGAGTCCCCATGGGGCAGTTAGTAAGACAGTTTGGTTCTGGACAGAACAGACAGAGAAAGAAAAGAAAAGCAAGTAGGTTGGAAAGTATTTTTTTAAAAAAAAGAACAGTAAAAGGTTTAAAGTCAACAAGCCTGGTGGCAGTTCCAGGGACAGCTATCAGGAGAAACGTGAGGCCCGCAGAAGCGGGCAGGCGCCCTCGCCCGTACACAGGCCTCGCTCTGCCTGGGTCCAGGTAGTCCGGAGCACGGAAGGTCCCTCGGGCCAGAACAGCAACAGACCTCTCCCTTCTGCTTTCTGTTCTTCCCTCATTTGCCCTTTAGCATTTCACATTTCAGAAACCCTTTGGTGTGCATAGAGATGGGAGTCACATGACTGTTGTATTTGAAACAGAGGATTAAATGGTCTGTTTTAGTCACAGTGATCACGTGGTCATTGCTCACGCTGAAAATTTCCCCTTGTATTGTCCACTAGACCCGGGAGGGAAGAATAGCACTGCATTTCCAGATTATTCTTTTCCTTCACCCCACAACTCCCCTCTTAGCTTCTCTGCAGGGTGGAGCTGGTGCTACAGCTTCAAAGAGAAAAATATAGCTATGGGGCGGGAGCGAGAAAAGACAAGGGAAATTTACTGTTGTGCCCCCCCACCAGGGAGGTCCCTGTCCAGGCATCGGCGGAGCGTTCAGGGAAGGGCCCAGAGCCGGGCGCTCAGGGCAGGTTGGATGATCCGCATTAGTCCTGGTAATTTTGGAATGAAAACCCAGAACTACTTACTACATAATTTATGGAGTGATGGGAAAGGATTTCCAATAGGCCTAATATAGGAAGTCAGTTTAGACAAGGAAGAACTCCACTGGAATCTAGAACAAGCAAAATTCCAACAGAAAAGGAAAAAAGAGCCCACATTTACTCTCTGCCAGTGAGGCTCCACACAGGTTCTGAATCCCCCCAACTTGGCCAATCATCTCTTTGGTATCAAACACACCCAGTGAGAAGAAAATCTGAACACTTTACACAGGACCCAAGTGGCAGGGGGACAGGCACAGTTCTGAACTGATAAAACCATTTTCACGCCTTGGAGCTGTGATTTAGCCATTAAGCGGTTGTCTTTCTACTATCACAGATTGCCTGGAGCAGTTGTTGTAACTCAAAGCCCTTTTTGGTTCCTAAACATGAATTTCTCTTTAGTTTCTAACATTAATGGACACTGCAGACACACCCAGTTAATGCTTTGGGACAGAGCCCTCATTTCCCCGAATTCCTCCAGAGCCTGAAGAAGGTGGGGCATTCACACAAATAAGCCCTCTGCAGTAGTGAGTCACCTACCTCAGGCCCCTGGAAGGATGCGGTAACAGAAGCCCGCAGAAGACACCATTTGTCACCCAAGAACTCTCAACCTTGGTATTTGTTCTTCTCAGAGCATGTAAACAACTGTATCACAAAGACTCGTATATTCGGAACGTGGCCAACATACTATCAATATTAGGTTGAATGAAATGGCAATTGCCATTTCTGTAGGTCACTGGCAATTTCACGTGGTTTAAACTCTGTATTTTGAGCTGACTTACCACTTGGTGGGTTAGCCTGGGAGCCACTGACCACCATCCCCCCGCCCTCCCACCGGGGAAATGTGCAAACACACCTGCCTCGTCTCTGCACCTGTGAAGCCAGGGCTGCAGCCCAGGGAGTGTGTGTCTCTCCTCTCCGACCCTTGCCATCTGCAGGAGCCTCCTGGAGAATGGTTAGGGGTGTCTGGATTCCACGGGTGTGGAGTCTGTCCACCTGGGCTAGTGGTGAGTCGGCCTCACCCTCCAGTCTGCACGCGGGATCCCGGGCCGAACAGTGTCTGACAGTGGCGGGGACCATGTGCGGCCTCACCGCCCCAGGCCCACAACCCCATGCCTTCGGTCCCAGCATTACTGTCAGGCTTTGTTTCGCTCATTCCTGAAGTGGAAACGCGGATTGTTTTTAAAGTGGTGTAGTATGGACATACTGCGTGTGGAAATGTGTGAGAACAAAATTCATTGCTGACCGATCAGTGAATAATGCTAAGGGGGATGTAATAAAAATCACATAGTAATAACAGGTGCCGGGATGTGTGGTCATATACAATGTGATGATGAGAGATGTAAGGGGGGTAATAGTAATAATCACATCGTATGAAGGCAGGATTTTGATCTTATCCAACTGTCTCACCTGGTTTTACGGCCAGGGAGATTCGTGGTCGCAGGGGGCATGGGATTTGTGAGACAGAGGACTGCTATTCTGTACTGAAGCCAGCACTGGAATCCAGACCTTCTCATACATTCCTGATGAAGGATGTTCTAGCATCCACTCTATCACACCCTCTCTGGCACACCTCTTGTGTTGTCCTGGATAAAGATCTGGAGCATGCAGAGAGGCCTGACGTGACTCTCACACATTTCACACATACACTTTTCTAGGACACAAATTCACACAGAAAGAGGGCAAATTATAACCCCAAGTGAAAGGCCCAGATAAACAGACGAGCATCAATCACCTATACCAGACCAGCGAACCTGAATCAAACCTCGAGCTACATCTTCAAGAAGGGATCACTGAGGACAATAATATGAACTTTTCTTTAGGAGTAGCTCAGGGCTTGTGTTTCTGCCTATACCATTCTCCCATAAACCCTGCATCTTCCCAGCTCACAAGAACCTATTATGGATAAGGATCCTTGAAATCAGATGACCTAGCAAAACCCCAGGTTTACACATATTTTCCTGGCATTTAAACAGAAGAGCTGGTGGGGTGAGGGTTGGAATACTCAGCCTTATTACCTCGATGGACCCTGGTTCAGCTTTGACTGTTTCTCCCATGTGGCTGTCACTGTTAAGACTTGGGGGCCCGTGGGGGGCCTGCCTCCTCTCCTCCTTTAAGGCATGCTCCAACAGCTTCTTGTTGAGGATCCGGGCTACATTCTCAGTGAGCGTGTAACCAGGGGGAGCAGATAAGTCCTGCCTCAAGGGCGTGCCTTCTCCCCCTTCCTCCCTCCACGTCTCTGAGCCAGCCCCGATGGGGCTGGGGGACCGTCCCCGGGAACTGGGGCTGGTTTCCTGGCCTGGGCCCAGATCCGGCCGAGGTTCTGCTGAGCGAGACCGACTCCCGGCCCGCGTTCCCTTCTGGAAGGGGTCCTGTACCACAGGGCTGTGGTCGATGATGTTGAAGAGGCTGGAGAGGCCATCGTTGATGGCGGTGTGCACGGGGCTCTCTCGTGTAGTGGTGGAGCGGGCCCAGGCCGACTCGCTGCACCCCTTTGGGGCCAGCCCCAGGGAGGTCCTGCTATTTGGCTGCTCGACTTTGGGGAGGGGCTTCCTCTGCAGCTTGGGAGACCCATACTTGGGGGAGCAGCATGTGCGCTCAAACTTGGCCTGCACCTTCTCGATGGCGGGGGCCACCTGCCTGCTCCTAAGGCCGCGGGAAGGAGATGACGCGGGTGTGGCACCACCCCCTGCCTTTGGCGTGAGACACTTGTGGGGGCTGCTGGTGACGGCGCCGCCACGCAGGGCTTCGGTCTGCAGGCCAATGTTGATGGTCTGAACGGTCTGTGTCCCCGTTGTCCGGGACCCATTGGTCTGGCAGGCCATGTCCTTGAGTGGAGGCTTGGGGGGACCAGAGCATATGGCATTCCTGACAGAGAAGGCCACCTCCTTCATGTCATCACTCATGTTCTTGGCCATCTGCAGGCTGTGAAGCGGGGAGGCAAACCCCAGGGGGGTGCAGAGGGCACTTTCGAGGGGGCGCAGCCCTCCCTCCACATAGTCTCGGGGGTGTCTGGAGGGGGCACAAGGCCACCTGCTAAGCACATGTTCTGAGGGAACCCCCTTTGTGTCTCCAGCGCCCACCCTGGCTCTGCTTGTGGGAAACTGGCACTCGGGCTCTGACCGGCCCTTGCCCTCACCCCCAGCCACCACAATGCTGTCCAGCCTGCGGACGGCGGGCGGGCTGTGCAGCAGCCGCACCCCGGCCTGCTCGGTGCACACATGGCTCCGTAGGGGCTGCTTCTGGCAGTGCTCTGGGCTGGTCACAGTGTCCGTGGTCATGGTGACACTCGTGGTGAGGTACCAGGAAGAGTCGGGGAAAGGCTCGGCACTGGCCTCATCCCCTGCCCGCCCTCCCTCGGTCCTGTCTGCCCAGGGCTCTGGGGGCCTCTCGTCCCAGCTCTTGCTGTTGAACTCCTCGATGTACTTCAGGTCGTCTGGAGACAGGGGTGGGGTGACGTCTTCCTTGTTGCTGGCAGCTGGCAGGCCCTTCTCCGGCAGGAAGGGAGAGACGTCCATCAGACGCTGGAACTCAGACATGGAGGACACAGACACAGCCCTGGGAAAAGTGGGAGAGAAGATGATGTCAGCTGCCTGCCAGCCAGGAAGGGTGCTCACCTGCCACTCCTGACCTGGGGCAAGCACGCGGGTCCTGCCCACACAAGAGGTGACTTTGTAACCTAGTAGTTCCCAAATGTCACTGCACACTGGAATCACCTGGGGCTTAAAAAATGAAATGAAATGAAATAATAAAATAAAATATAAACCCACTTTGGAATGCTTTCATTCTGGCCTGTGGATGCTCCATAGCAAGAAGGACACCTGGCTGATGACCGCCTCCGATTCCTAACCTACGAGGGGTTTCCTGAGTCCCAGGCACTGCGGTAGGTGCTCGCGTTACTGACAGAACACAGCCCAGCCTGATCCCAAACTGGCGAATGGTATACGCGCAGGGGGTTGGATACCACAACATCGCAGCCATCACCTGACGACCGTTCTCCCGCCAGCCTCATCCTCTATTTCCAGTGAAGTACAGTTGACCCTTGAATGACAACAGGGGCTAGGGGGTCCGATCCCCATGCAGTCGAAAACCCATGTACAATTTTTGACTCCCTCAAAACTTAACTACTAGTAGCTTACTGTTGAACGGAAGCCCTATCGATAAGATGAACAGTCTATTAACCCATACTTTGTGTATGTATTAAACACTGTATTCTTGTAATAAAATAAGCTAAAGAAAGAAAATATTAAGAAAACAATAAGGAAGAGAAAATACATTTACAGTACTATACTGTATTTACTGGAAAAAGTCCACATCTAAGTGGACCCGTGTAGTTCAATCCGTGTTGTTCAGGGGCCAACTGTACTGACTGCCATCTCCAGAGGCCAAATGGAAGATGTAGAGCAAAGAAGGGAGGTGGAAGGTGTGACAGGTGGGCATGTAATTTCCAAATACGACTTCAAACGGAAACTCCATCCAGCTCTGTCGAAATCTACCACCAGGGCTCAGTTCTTCCCTCCCCCTGCTCCCTCCTGTACAGCCCAGCCTGTCTTGTGTTCTTGTTCTCCCTGTATTCCTGGACAAGAGGAAGATGCCTGCAGACACACAAACACACGGGAGGGTGAAGATGCGTGAGCTAAAGGAACAGCCAGGTTTGGGTAAGTGCTGCCTGATGGATATGGATTTGGATGTAGATTCCTCCCTATATATGTGCTTTCATTCAATATATTTCTATTTGGTATGAATTTCCTAACTGCCTCCTACAGGCCAGGGCAGGCACCGTATGGGATGTTGGGGATTCCAAAATGCTAAGACAGGAGGTTGCTGGAGCGCTCAGGCAGCTTGTCAACCCACCCAGGGCACAGCAGGGGTGGCCAGGAAGGAGGCTCAGGCCTGGACCCTCTGGCCAGAAATCCCTCCTGCTGGGGCAGGGGGGTTGCATACGCAGATTCACTGTCTCTGTAACTAGACCACTTTCTCATAGAACATACTCATATCTGCACACCCCAAACAGAAGTTCAAATACCTAGGGCTTCAGACCAGCACAGGTGCTGCCAAGTGGGTCCCAGATGGAGAGTACCTGGGTTACTTCACTGCAGAAACCATTAATGATGGTGAGACCAGAATTGGGGTCTGTGTGCCACATGGATTGGCCCACAGAACAGGCAAAGCCCCGGGTGCCTTTGCCCTCACCCTGGGAACATATGCCATTGTGGTCGCCACCCTAGTAAAAGAGAGCAGGCTACAAATGATACCAGTAGGCCTTCTATCTTGTTATTTCTCACTAGGGGCAAAAGTTAGTGGTATTTTTTTTGTTAGAAATAATCTACAAACCCTCCCATGGCCCAGTGAATAACAGAAAGCTGGCTACAACCAGCACTGAAAATAAAAAGAAAACGAAGGGATGGGTCAATTTCCGGTAAGTGTGATTTTTCTCTTCTAGCCTCTGGCCAAGTCAAGGAGTTGCTGAATTAAGAATGAGCTTCAGGTGCCTGGGTGGGTCAGTCGGTTAAGCAGCTGCCTTCAGCTCAGATCATGATCTCAGGGTCCTGGGATAGAGCCCCGCATCGGGCTCCCTGCTCAGTGGGGAGTCTGCTTCTCCCTCTGCCTCTCCCTCTGCCCCTGCCCCCACTTGTGCGTGCATGCGCGCTCTCTCTCAAATAAATAAAATCTTAAAGGAAAAAATGAGCTTCAGAACGCTGTTCACTGGGGGCTGGAAGTGCTCCGTGGGTACCGGAACACCAATCCTTTCTGCATTTCTTGGACACAGCTCTTCTAAGCCCCGTTTCTGCCCACGGAGGAACTACCCTCAGAGGTAAGCCAGTGCACCTGTGTGGGGCCTTTCTGCCTCCAGCCCTTGGATGGATTTCATGGAACAGAGGTGATGTGGGCAGAGAAAGGGAACACATCAGCCTTAGCAGTGGCCAAAGCAAGACAGATACAAAACCAGGACACATCGGACACGTGCCAGCATGTGAGGGCACACAGAAGAAAGTCCGGAGGGAAGACAGGAAACTGCTAGAAGCAAGAGGGAGAAGGGGATGGTGGGGACAACACACGTACTTTTTTACCTCGGACATTTTGATAGGTAAGGTTTTTTTTTAAAGAAGTTATTCATTTATTTGAGAGAGCTAGAGAGAGAGAACACATGTGGGCAGAGGGGCAGAGGGAGAAGCAGGCTTCATGCAGAGCAGGGAGCCCGATGCCGGACTCCATCCCAGGACCCTGGGATCATGACCTGAGCCGAAGGCAGACACTTAACCGACTGAGCCACCCAGGTGCCCCGATATATAAGTTAATTTAAGATTAACTTTTCTAAGTATGGATGACTTTTGAAATTAATAGCAGCAATTAATATAAAAAAGGGGGGGCGCCTGGCTGGCTCCATCGGTGGAGTGTACGACTCTTGATCTCGGGGTGGTGAGTTCAAGCCCCATGTTGGGTATAGAGATTACTACAAAAAATAAATACACTTTAACAAAAAATAAAAAAATAAGAGCTACTATGCAGGGAAGAGCTCTGTGAAGATAGCTAAATTTTGTTGACTGTTTACTCTGTGTCAGGCATTGCTTTGTTTCATGTGTAGAAACACATTTAAGCTGTAAAGAAATTGAAACGCCTTCTGTTTACAGATGAGGAAACCGAGGCACAGGGTGGTTACCTAACTCACCCCAGGGCACATGGCTGGCAAGAGGAAGATGTGCATTTGAAACCAGGCTCTAGTTCTCGAACGCGGCCCTAGACTGTCCGAGAATGACCAGACAAGACAGAGCCTGAAGGACAGAAATGCACCACAGGCGTTTTGGGTGGTTTTGGATGAACCAAATACAGGGCAAGATGGGAAGAAGATAGTAATTTATGGACTTGAAGTTCATAGGGAAACCAGAGATGAGGAGATCTGGAAACAGCGGACTGCCCTGAGGAGAAGTTTCCTGTGGTGGAAATAGCATGTGTTCATCTATAAAGAAAAAGCATGTGTCAGGGGTGGGGAGTGGGGGGTGGGGGAGTTGTGTACAGGAAATCTTTCCACTCAGTTGTGTATTTTTAGTGCTTAAACAAATTTGCTTAGATATGTCTTTTCAGATATATCCTATCATACAGATGAGCTAAAATAGACGATAACTAACATCACCAACATCACTTACTTTGTATTTACTTTAAGGTTTAGGGCCGGGAAATATTTTAATAAATCCTCCGGGCAGAGCTTTAAATGCCCAGTATATAAAATGTCTCACAGCACATCAAGAGGGAGTCTTTCCAGACTAAACGAGAAGCGGGGGTTTCTGTGGACTTTCCAGCAACCACTGGACACGACATTCCTTTATACACACAATACACTACTATAACTGTTCTCACCATGATACTAACACCCACGTGAGCACAGTGTGTCTCTGGCCTTTCCATTGCTAATAATAGAAAATGCCATATTTATGAAATCAATAATAATAAAGCAACTACTTATTCAGAAGTCTTACTTTAAGTCATTCTCAAGACAGTGTTACCACAGACTGCGGTGACAAAATGGAATTTTAAGACCAAGAGCCTTTAATTTCAGTAGCCGACGATTGTTTTCATCAGTCTTACCTTTGAAGATTTCCCTTGTGATTTTCTTCTTCCTATAAGAAGAAATAAGATCGTCTGAATCAGTTAATAGGCTGCCAGGCACTTTCAACGTGCTAAGTGATTTGTTTTGCTCTTCGACCATAGGAAAATACCATTTAAAATGTACACCGAGGCCAAGTTTTGGTCGGGAATGTTCCTGTCCCTCAGCCCTTTGAAATATAATAAAACCAGAACCCACACAGCTGAATGTGTGTATGTGTGTGCGCGTGTGTGAGAGAGAGAGACAGAGAAAGAGGAGGAGGAGGGGGTGGGGAAAGGGAAGATGGGGCCCCCGAGAGAGGAAGCGGGGCGGCTATGTCCCTTGGTCTCGGCCTCACTGTAGAAGGCGATGCAACAGACTTACGCTTGAGCACTTTCTCAGTTGTGAGCCCTGCCATGTGGAATCAGAGGCGAACTGACAATGACTTGTGCTCTGTGCAGCTCAGTACGGGCCCCCCGTCACAGTGGACACAGTTGGGACCGGGCTCCCGACCCCGGGCTGCTTCCTCTCTGCTATGCAACTGCACCATGGGAGTTGCCAAAGGGTCAAACAGGGCACCATCCTGGTGATGTCATGCCACCTGGCTACATACTGCTGAGAAGGTACTTGACCTCACAGACACCTCACTGAAATCTAGCTGCCCTACATTTCAACACTACTTGACACGAACTCTTCGAAGTCTGTCTTCAGACAGGTTAAGTGACAGGTACAGCAACTGTCAAACTGACTCACAGGTAATGATTCCTAAAATCCAACCCGGTTTTAAAACCCAGTTGTAGAAAGGGCATAATCAGAAAAACCTGACATTGTGCCATGGAAATCTCAGCCCAGAGTTTAGCTCACCGCTTTGCTGATGATCTAATTTATACACGGCTTCAAAGTGTTGGGTTTTCCCCATTTTGCACAGAATAAGAATTTATAGCCTGTCATTGTTTAGTGATACTTATTATTTCCCAATGTGAGGTACTTGCTTTAGAACAGATTTTTTTTGTTACCAGTAAGTTGTTTAGAATCAGAAGGCTGCTGTGATTTAAAGACAGGTTGCAGACCTATACGTCCCAGAATGAATTCTCTCCTCCTGTGGGTTCCACTGGACCTGCTCATGGGTGAGACCTTTTGTTTACACAGGACACAGTCCTGTGTCTGCAAACCTGAGACACGTTGGCCAAGTGAAATCGAATGTAGCGCATACTAGGAGTTTGGGGTCGGACCACCAAGCAAAGCTCTTAGCACTGTGAAGGTTTCATGCTTACTCAACCCAGAGGCTGTGATTTGCAAAGCCCGAGCCTGCTTGACCAGGTGGCCAGGTCTCCTGACAACCCCTTGGTCCTGCAGCGGTTGACTGGACCCCAAATCCCAGGCTGACCTGGGGGAGGCAGTTCCTGAACTCCCGCTGGGGCCCTCGGGCTGGAGGCTCCTCTGGCTCATCATCTAGAGACAAGGCATCCAAGTAGAGGTTTTCCCGTGCTGAACACCTGTCCGACTCCTTCAGCTTGGACAGCGGCCGGTCTTCAAACGGGGTGGAGTCGGTGTCTGCACAGGGCCACATCTCCAAGGGACGGGGCATTCGGGGGCTTCCCGGGTGGGCAAAGGGGCGGATGTTGCCTTCCTTTTGATCACAGGGGAAACTGCCACTTCTCCGGGGACTGTTTTCTTTCTGCAACTTGAGGGTTTTTAAAAAAATGAAAACCATTAGTCTCAGTCTTCTGTCAGCTGCCCCCCCTAAGACTGCTGCTTCTCCACAATCTGGAACTACATCCGGGTCCGTAGCAAAGACTGGGAGAAGTAAATGTTCCTCAAGTTCTGCCCTTAATTTCAAAAGTAACACAACATTACAGATGTTTTTATTAAAATAAAAAAAAAATCACAATTTTATCCAGACTGGAAAATGTGCATTAACCACACACACGAGCCAACTCCTTCTGATGAGAATATATATATATATATATATATATATATATATATATATATATATATTACTGTATATAACTTGAGTACTGTTCATGGGAAATTATACATTTATTTTTTTAAAAACTGAACATTGTTAAATGACATATTTAGAACTCTTTTTTATACCTTCTGAACTTAAGGCACACTCACTGGAAAACCATCAGTGACAGCAAACTTCTGAGGGCGAATTTGATTTTCCTGACTAGCAGAGTTTCCTCATTCCAACACTATTATTTCCAAATCATTTGGCATGGGTCCCGTCTATTAACCCAAGTGATCGAATTGGGTTGTAACCACTGGGTGTCAAAAACAACTTCGAACTTTGCTTGAGAGGATTACAACTTAGCTATCAAGTTAATGAAAGATCTGGACTGACTGAAAAAGGAAAAGCCACATACTTTAGAACCATACCTTTTTTGCCTGACTTGGGAAATGCAGGAAGAAATAGTGGGGAACACGCAGGCGCCCTTAGAGTGAAGAAGGTCTGAGTTGGGCCCACTGTCCTGTGGCTTGGTTTGCTGGCAGGAGTGAAGTCCCCAGTGGTCCCCAGCTCAGTGTCCTCATCTGTTAAGTGGGGACCGCACAGCTGCCCGCTGTGGAGGGGAGGAGTGCGGGGGCCACCAGCAAGGCGAGCCCAGCAGGGCTCACTGTTTGTCAGTAAGACCAGCACTGACCTCCCTGGGGTCTGGGTGCGCTGATACACGCCTTGCTGATTTACGGCACTAGAATGAACCATGTGGAGCCACTTAGGAAGGGAGCCAATGTGAAATCACAGGGACAGGCAGGGAAATGGTGTGCAGAGCGGATGCTCACTCCCTGGAGAAGCTGTAAACTTCCCCCTGGACTCTCCAGAGCTTTCCTCACTGCATTCCTTTCGAAACATGCACAGAAAGCACAGCGGAGGGCTGAGGAGAGTTCCACCTATGTATCTCCACTGGGGTCTTTACTGGATGACATGCTCACACACTCAACCACCATGGCAGCTGCCCTCTTGGCTAAGAAAGTTATCTGAAGGGTGAAAGTGACATTTGGATTTGTCAAAGAAAGGTGTTCAGTCTTCAAGTGCTGAGATGGCGCCAGGAAGTTCTACAACTCCCCTGGAAGCATTAATTTATTTTTTAACCAAGCATCTTTCACAAACTACACCTCTGTGTCCCAATTGAAGCCTTAGTCCAGGAGCTGGAGGTAAGTTTGTGGCCTGCGCATCATCAGGAACCAAGCCACATAAAATAATGGAGATGAAGGACTTTTACTCATTTTTAGTCATTTCTGAGACAGTGGATTATCTTCATTTTCTGAGAAAGATGGAGATTCAAGCAGCCAGAGCTTAAATGTTAGTATCTGAGGCAGGGTCACAGTTGAATTAGGAACAAGCCAATCACTCCAGGTTTCAGCTCAGCCCCTCTGATCTCTACCTGCCCCTCTGCCCCAAGGCACAGTTCTTCCCAGTTCCCTTAAAGATGCTAAATGTTTTCTTTAGCACACAAAAAACAACAAAAAGGGAAAACTTTTTATTATGTTTATCTAATGCATGTCAGCGCAATTTAGTTCTAACACATGATCATCTCTAAGCTATTTTGGGCAAGGAATTAAAATGCAAGAATCACACTCGGAGCTGTAAATGTGCACCGAGGGTGTGTGTGAAGAGGAGGAAAGAATGACTAAGTAGGAGGGCTTTGAAGGAGCACATTCTAACTCAGCACAGTGGGTATTCAAAAATAAACACAGGCAGCCAGGAGCAATGCGCACTAATGCTGGTCAGTGTTAGGTTTCCTAAAAATGAACTGGAATGGGTTTAGCTGGAGGTATCTGGTGCTAAGATGCCTCTGGGATGTTGTAATAGAATAATGGGTCCTTAAAAGGATAGGGTTTCTTAGGAGAGTCATTTCAAACCAGCCATCAGCACCCACTGTACTTTGAATCCTGCAGCAGAACAACTTTTAATGCAAGTAGAAAACTGAAAAGACTTGCATTTCAAATAATACAGGAAACAATAAACCCTCCACAGTGTCACCTTACCTGAACTGGTCAAAAGAAAAAAGGTCACTTTGTGATCGGGTTTTAAAGGAATGGCCTTTCAGGTTGTAGAGGCAGCTGATTTAAGGAAATTACTGGAAGGAGACTGGAATGACACATGGTCTTTCCTTTAGGTCTTCAGTACAGCGGCGAGTCCTATATCATCTGCATGCTAACTGGGAACTTAATTCTACGGAGAAATGTAGTGTGACTCCATAAAAGTTAACTATCGCCCAATCAAATCTGGACCGGGACAAGGGATGCTGATAAGATAGATGGCATGTGTTATGTGACCTTAACCACATTCCCACAGTCCTCTGTCATATAAAAATGCCTCATGTGGCGCAGAAATTATGTAGGAATTTAATGACACTGGACAAGTACGAAGCATGTGTTCTAAAAGTGGAAAATGGATTTAGTGTTACTTCCTTCACCAACTGTATTAGGTTATCAAAGTCAAGGTTACATGGCTCACCAAGTAGTTAGATATCAAGAGCATATATTATGAAGAATGTTCACCTGTATTCCTTGTTTTTCTATGGAATGTGGAGCTAAAAATTAACGAACGATAAATGAAATCCACACACACACACACACACACACACACACACTTTGGTTAATTTCCTCTTTTGCAGAGAATGACTATAACTGCTTCATCTAATTTTTGGGGTTGGGCACAAGATTTATAAAATCTTCTTTTAAAATGCTGACTATTTGGGGGAAAAGGCTGGGTTTATTTTTGAAAGCCACAACTGCATATCTGAAGCATCATTCACTGGCAGTAAATCTTCTCCTAAAAACAGCAGTGAGATCATTGTGCAAAGCCTGTGGGATTCACCCCACAGATTTCAGGAACAGATGAACGCCTGGAACCCACGAGTCTCGAATCCATTATGCTCAGAGATGTTAACCTTGAGGACTCAAGTTCTGAGGCTGTTGGCTCGGTAGAACTGCTCTAGTCCTGACTTGGAAGACTGACCTGAATCGGAAATGGGGTTCAGCGCATGCCCAATTTTACCCTTCAAAATACAGTCTTAAAATGGGGTGACTGCTCCTCCCCTGGTCATTAACTCTTCAGAAGTTCACTATCATCAGATGTCCTACTACTTTTTCCTTTACTAGGAATTCCTCATTCCCAAAAGTGAAACCCTAAAAGACTTGCTTAAATTATATCCAAGCTGTGACTTCCAAAAAGAAGCTATGACAAGACCAAAGAGCCCACAGCTAACAGGCAAAGGGGACCCAGAAGGGCTGTGGCAGGGATTGTGATGGCCTTGCTGTGCCACAGGAGAGACAGAGTGAGTGCTCTTGGAGGGAAGGCCAAGAAGGAACCTCCCTGATAACAAGGTGCCTGGAGTTTCTGAAACACTGGTTAACTAAAGCTGGATATGATAAATCTGTGACCGTTTTTGCCCCTGCAATTTCCACCTAACCACTGATCTGTTCAGGAGAGCACAGGCACATAGGGGATCTAATATAGAAGATTCTTCTCAAATGATGCATTTCTAGGCCAAGCAGGAAGCAGCCACCTTTCTTTTGACTGACTTTGGGGAATTTTGAAATGAACCACATCAAATACCAATATGGTGTGACTCAGTTGTGTGAGTAATCAAATCTAGGAAGAACTTCTGCACCATTCTATCTGAAGTGTGCCTTCTCAACTGAACAGTTTCTGAGCCAGGGGCTCCTGGCTTTTTTTAGTTCCTTCACCTTCTCTCCCTCCCCAACAGCATGCAGAAACTAACTTTGGCCATTGCACCAGCATAACACAGGTATCACATCTGGGGATGATAGAGCATAAAAGGCTCCCACATCAATGCAGGGAGTATGGGTATTTGTAGTAGAGTAATAAGGTTATTTTTCCTGAACTCATTTTCTTATTGATTAATACATTACCTTGAGGCCTCATAAATTTTTAAGTGTGACAGGCTGAAATAAAAAAAAAAAACAAAACAAAAACCATATATGCTATGTAAAAATCCAGCCAGAGAAGAATTCCAAAACTTTATCAGTTTAATGTGAAAATTTAATTTGTGCATCACTCAGGCATGACCGCAACTACGCAAACTGTCTTAAGCTGACGCAATGCAGAGAATGATTCTCTGGGAGGTAGAAAAACAACTCCCCTTCTCCCTCTAAATTCATCTGGGTGTTTGCATTGTTTGTTTAGCTGAAGGGGATGAGCTACCAGCTCCCTCCCCTGACACGGTCCTCCCTAATCACAGCTCAGCAATATCCACAGCAGGTGCAAACAGCCTGATTTCCAACTTAACTGAGCAACCTCTTTACTAATGGGCAGCAATCCCACTCAAGCTGGAGCAGCCACTGTGACCACATCTTTAGGGGCAAACTTAAAAGGCAGTTTGCTTTTTGGCAGGAATCACACCTTATAAGACCTGAAAAAACCTCATGTTTCAAGTTTAGTCTTTAAATTCCTTCAGGGGGCGCCTGGGTGGCTCAGTCGTTAAGCGTCTGCCTTCGGCTCAGGTCATGATCCCAGGGTCCCGGGATCGAGTCCCACATCGGGCTCCCTGCTAGGCGGGGAGCCTGCTTCTCCCTCTGCCTCTGCCTCTCTCTCTCTCTCTCATGAATAAATAAATAAAACATTTTAAAAAATATTAAAAAAATAAATAAAATAAATTCCTTCAGAATATTAGCGCCCCCCCCCCGCCCACCCAGCCCTGACCACAGACATACCACACGTATATACACACACAAGGAAGTTACCTACAGACTCTGCAATTAAAAGATCTGTGTAATGTAAGGGCTGAGTCTGGGTCTCCAGTGCTAGAATTCTATGATTTTTTTCTTCTTCCTCAGGAAGCCCATGAAACATTAGCCTGATATATATATATATATGTTTTTTCCATGTGCTCTGATCTCCAGGTCAGTTTAGTTGTCCATATTCTCTTCCCTGTTCGCTGGTGCCAGGGTGCTCCCTTACCTGCTCTATTCTGCACAAGAGCTCCTTCTTCTGCTGTTCCCACTCCTGCCGGTCTCTGTCCAGCCGGTCGAGAATTTCCACCTTCTCCCGGTTCCAGTTCTTCTCACTGTGATGGATCTGCCAGCGCAGGTCCATGACCAGGCCGTGACTGTCGGCGAGGAGCTTCTGGTGCGTCTCCCTCTCCTTCTTGAATGCTCCTTTGCTGTCGGTGGAGGCGCCTACTTCTCCCAAGTTCTTCTCAGTCTTCTCTTCCAGCTGGCAAGGAGGAAAGACATAGACCTTAACCCCTAGCAAATCTTACATCAACAGGTGAAGAAAATCACAGGACACTTGCATATTATCCCTGGAAACATGTTTAAGCCAAAATTTGACCAATCCCATGGGAAAAAAAAAAACAATTCTCATTTTTAAAGTCTTAATAATGAACATTTGACATAGGGAGTCACATAAAATGTAAAGCAGTGAGTCCATTTAGCTTCCTGCGGTCTGTTTCTCAGCTCCACTTCCTGACTCAGTTACCACCGTATCTTGCCTGCCTTTATACTGAGTTCCTTGAGGGCAGGTCCATGTCTGTCCCTAAATCCTCAGCCCCCACATGGAAACGAGGGATGGAGCATCGGTGGGACCTACCAGTCTACAATAAATATCCATTAAACATCCCTGAGATTAAATACCAAAACAAACAAATGAGCAAAAAATTTTCCATCTAGACATATCATAGTTAAACTGCTGAAAACCAAACAGGAAACCTCGGAGGCAGACAGACACAGGACACACAGACATGAATGACAGCACACCTCTCCTCTGAAACTATGCAAGTCAGGGACGATGGAGTGGCATCTTAAAGGGCTGAGGAAGGGAAAACGTCCACCTCGATAGACTTCTATCTATGCTTTCAAAAATAAAGGGAAAAAAGGCTTTTTCAACAAATTAAAAAAAAATCATTGCCAGCAGACCTGTACTTCAAGAAATGATGGAAGTTTTCAGGCAGAAGGATTAGGATACTAAAAGACACTGTGATCTACACAAAAAATGAACACTGGAAATGACATAAGAAATACAAGTAAAAGCTCACTTTTCCCTATTTTTAATTGCTTTAAAGTATTATTGAGTGGCTAAAGCAAAGCCAGTTGCAATGTATTGTGTTTATAGAAGTAAGCCGTGGCAACAAGAGCAGAGGATGGGAGGAGGGAGCTGGGAGCACACTGTTGCTGCAGAACATGATCGATTTTAGTGAAAGAGCAGTGAACATAAAGATGCATTTTTTCCTATTCTAGTTCAGCAGACCTCTGGATTTTTACCTATGGACCATGTTACTCCATTCAATTCCAATGACTTCTAATCCATTCTCTTCCTCGAAGCCAGGATAATCTTTTACAAATGTAAATCAAAATGCTTTACTTCCCTGATAAAATCAGGATTAATGTTTCAATCTTCTGCACGTTCTTTTTTTTTAATTTTTTATTGTTACGTTAATCACCATACATTACATCATTAGTTTTTGATGTAGTGTTCCATGACTCATTGTTTGTCTGCACGTTCTTCTTTTCCCTCATACCCGACCAGGTGCAGCTCCTCAGATACACTTACTCCTTTTTTTCATGATGCTTTTTTTGTCTGAAACATTCTTTCTCTCCTTTTCCATGTACTTACTCCTATTCATCTTCTGAGACTCGTTCTAAGCAGGACTTTCACAAACAACCCCTCCCTGAACCCTCAGGCTGAGGTGTATGGCCTGCACACCCCTATTTCCTGACAGCACTGTGTATACAGGCCTGGTGGGGCACTTATCACACTTATAAATTACAGCCCTTGTCTGGGTCTCCCAGTGCACTGAGAGCCCCTTCAAAAAATGTCCTCTCTGTTGCTGGATCCTTGGCATCTAGAACAAGGCCTGACTTGGGGGTTAATTGAAGGAATCACAGATTTGACCATGGACACAACATGGCCTCCACTGAGATAAAATACTTAACTTTTGGTAGAATACACCTGTCTTGCTTTTAAGTAGAAGAAGAGTAAAGATGGGAGTATTATAAATAAACTAGCTTTAGCCCACATTTATTGCTTCCTGGGCTGCAACTGTTTCAGAAACTTCTTAAAATGATTTGGGCGGAAGATGAATCTTTACCCATTACCACCTGGCTTCTAAGTCTGAAGTCTTAATTTTATTTCTTTGTGTCTAGTGATTCTCCCTGAGGCTTTCTGTATAGCATGTGTGTGGGTGGCTACCAGGTTTCTCTAAAACAAAGATGAAATATTTTGAAATTGGCTCATATCAAAGATTAGGCCTCCTTTCTTCAGCTACACTTACATCTTTGAAAATATTTAGCTTTCTCCCCCATAAACATATTTTAAAATAGTTTTAAAGGCAGCTCACCAGAGAGCATCTTACTCATTTTGCCTCCACGGCTGTCTCTGCAGGCTGTGCACTAAGAGAAACAGGGCATCTCGTAAGAATCTCCTACCAGGCAAGTAGGCAGGATTCAGAACTGGGTCAGCGGCTCCACCAGCCTGGCCTGATGCTTTGGTTTTGCTCTGCTTTGCTGCTTCCTCTGTGGAAAAGGCAGTGTCTGTGCTCTCCCGGGGGCTATGAGCCTGAATCCACTGCCCCCCAGGCCAGCTGGCCATGCAGCTGAACTTGTGGGTACCAGGGGGGTTGTTTTCTTTTGACATGACAGGCTCTTTCATCTTTTATCAAAGCCATTTGGAAGATGTCTCCTTTCTGGGCAACTTTTTTTTTCTTTCATGACCTAGCCAATTCATATAAAATTTTAATTACTTTAAGATTTGCCTCAAAATAGGGCTTAGAAAGTAGATTATCCAAGATGCACAGACTTTTCCTCCCATCATGATCAAGGGGTTGGAAGAAACCTGGAGAAACAATCTGAGCAAGTGGACTCAGGGCAGGAGGTGATATTGCTTTTAAGGGTCTCCAGGGCACGTCGTGGAAGGTCTACGAGCTCTTTTCAGTACTGGGAGAGGTCTAAAGGAACGCATGTGCTCTCCTTTTCCAAAGACAACTAAGCCACAATCTGCACTTTCTTTGCGCCTGTCTGAACTATGAAGTGGTGTTCTGATCACCACTTCATGCTGGCCATCCTCTGATGGGGCTAAATACAGCCTTGTTCAACGCAGAATGGAAAAACAAATGCTACTGTCAAAAGGTGCTCAGTGGAGACTGTGTTTCATACTTGGGAGACGGACTAGGAGGGAGAAGAAGGTGCCTTGGGAAGGCTGGGAATTTTTTTTTTTTTTTTTTTTTTTTTTTAAGGAGGCTCCATGCCCAACATGAAGCCCAACACGGGGCTTGAACTCACGACCCCGAGATCAAGACCTGGGCTGAGATCAAGAGTCAGATGCTTAGCCAGCTGAGCCACCCAGGTGCCCCGAGGCTGGGAATTTTAAGGAGAGAGAGAGCAGGTAGCTGTTCTGGGCTTTCCCCTTGGAGCCCTAGCTCTTTGGACAAAGATCACCGTGGATCTGAGGAACTGTGCCTTCGCCCCACCCGGCCCAGATGGCAGAGGCCCCGCAGAGCTGGAGCGGCGGAGAGCCCACGGGCAGGTACCTGTTCCAGGCGGCACTTGAGCGCGGCCCACTCCACGTCCCAGGCAGCCTTGTCACTGGCGTACTGCTGCTGCAGCTGCCGCCGCGCATGCTCGTCCTCCCGCAGCTCGGCGCGCAGGTCCTCCAGCAGGCTCTTGAGCGCCCCGAACAGCTGCTGGTTTTCCACCACCTGAGGGAGCGAACATGGAGTTGGTTCTGCCCCCTCATGTAAGGGTATTCTTTAGGTCCTGGAGTCAAGGTGGTGCTGCGTTGTGTCCAAGGTGCCATTGCAATCGGTACAGAACAGGTGAAAAGTCTGCAGTTAGTGGGACAGAGCCAGGGGGTCCCTACGCTGCCAGCCATCAGGCTCCCGGAGCTGAGACTGCTAAGGGCCTGGTGGAACAGGAGCAGGGCTGGCGCTTAGGGCTGGTGTTCCGGGCCCAGAAGCAGAAGGGAGGAAGCTGCGGGAAGCCACAGGGAGCCCGGAAGCCAGGGCTGCAAGGAAGCTCCGTGTGATTTCAGACATCCGCAGCTATGGTTGGAGATGCAGATCTGGCAAGATATAAACACTCACCTATCTTGCTGTCATTTTAGTACCAGCCATTGAACCAGAAGAGAATAAATAAAGGCTCTGTGTCTCTTATAAACATAGGGTGGTCATACTCTGACTTGGATGGATAAGCATGGCCACGGGGGGAGAGGGCATTTGAGCTTTAATCCAAGTCAAACGTAAACGCTTAACTTGTTCACGAGGGCCTCCTCATGGTCCCCTGAGAAAGAATCACTGCGCCCCTCCTTTCAGCTGCAATAACCAGCACCTACTTGTTCTCCTGTGCCTCCCTGACCACCCCATGGTGCACGGGGCACAGACAAACCCGACCCGCTCCCACGTTTCCAGTGGCCCACACAATGCTCAGCTCGTGTAAAGTATGCAAACAGGTCAGATAAATGAAAAAGGGATTTTTATCACTAATCTGCTTACACCTAAAATATATTTTATTTTCTAAAACTCATCCTGCTCTTTGAAAGCACATTTCCAAAACCATGACTGCTATCTTTGTACATTTCAGCATGGGCATTATATCAGAAAGGCCTGTCCAAGTGAATTAAATACTGAATCAATTATGATACCTGGATAATAAAAGCACCACGAGCTCCAACAGAAAACTTTAAAAGTTCATCACGGGCTCCCAGACTGGTCTCAGGGCCATCTTGTTTGGCGCATTTACGAGGCCGGTAGAATCAAAGCTCTCTCAGTCCTGCTGGAGTCAGACTGTCTTGACTTTGGGGACACAGAGCCCCTTACTCTCAGAGAGACTGCCCCCTGCTTGATAAGCCTCTCAGGCCAAAGGCAGCAGGACAGTGCCCCCAGCTCTCCTCTGCCACGTGGAGAGTCTGTCATGCTCCTAAAACCATCTCGTTAATCCCCTAAACACACATGCGCAGAGATGAAAATGGACAGCCACATTTGGGAAGAATTTAAGATACTTTGGCTATCTATATGGTTGGATTTAAATAAAGTTGAATTAGAAAAGAGAAACTCCTCTGTATGAGCAGATTTATTATTGAAAACCCCAGTTTTCCCTGTAAATTGTCTGGAGTTCTAATATTAGATGCGGTAGACTTTCGATGGGGTAGAAAGGCCTATTTGTTAACATTTATAGCTCTTTGGTTTTTCTCCCCTTGACCACCAATTTTTACTTTAATAGCTCTGAGGCTAAAGCCAGTAAGAGACAATCCAGTTAACGCTTGTAAGATCCAGCAGCTAGAGAGCCTTCTAAAAATGCTACATGTCCCATCCAACCAAAAATATAAGTAAATTACCACTACACTCAAAGAGATGCTCAGGATATGTGTACAACTGTAATAAATGCAGAACAGTTTCTTTCAACTCTACACCAAAAGTATTTAAAAATTATATAAGTGCAGGTGAGTGAGAAGAAGTATTGCAATAATCTTTTCAGAAATATACATCTTTTGAGTACAGAATTTATTTGAAAAAATACATTTTATAATAGATTCATATGCTATTTTCATCTTTGGATTTTAAACTTAAAAATCACTACTTTTTAAGTCAAAGTATTTTAAGCATAAAGTAATGGGACTGATTTTCATCTAGTCTCTGAGTAGTCATCAAATTCTCACTGAAGAAAAAGCAGAAAACCATGTAATCAATTCTTGTATATAATCGATACTTCCCTACAAACCCCACTTTGTGAATATTGTCAGCCTGTGGGGTTCTTAACCCCACAGAAATTGGCTCTGATAACATCAGGACCAGAATTTGTGGTCCTCGGAAGCAGGAATTCACAGAATAGTCCTTTTGCAGACTGAAATTTTGGTTCCTCTAGAAATAAGTACTTTCTGGCATTAGCAAATATCAGATTAAAGAAAATTAAGCCTTAATGTTTTCATGCACATTTGGGTCAGCGTAATCATCATAATGTGCTATTATACAAGTATAATATTGATCATCATGGAATGAGTTCAAAAATTGCTCTGGCATGAAGGTGGTCAAAGGGAGCAAGAGAGTCCACGGAAGGGATGTTATTGGTACTTGTTATGATAATCACCCAGAAGCAGCATGTGACATGGCAAGAAGTCAGCCTAGCATTCTGCCACTGGTGTACAACACCGAGAACTGATGTCCAAATAAAAACTTCTGAAGACCCAGATGGGCAGGATGTTTCTAAACTTCTTCAGGTACAAAAAACCCAGTAATGAAAAGTAATACGAATTGTCTCTGACAGAGGGCGTGCTAGGTCAGGTGCGCTGATCGCCCACCTGCAGGATCTCATTGGCATCTCACATCAATCCTGGGTGCATACCATCAGGCCCCACCCTGTGACAGAGGAGGAACTGGAGCAGGCTCTCCCTGCTAGGAAGTGCAGAGCACGGACTGCACTCCGGGTCTGTCCCACCCAAGGCTGGACAAACCCAGCCAACATATCTAAATTTGACATTATCCTCTACCCAGGTTTGTTTGTTTGTTTTAAATTTTGCCTAAGAGAAGCCACCTCATCTCTGGAAACAAATTCCATCCCCCAGATCAGTGGAAATACTAGTGAGCCATCCTAAAAGAATGCCTAAAAAGTTACTTGTCTTACGTTTCCTCCCTGTGGGGGCCCTTGCTGGGCAATGTTTGGGGTAAAAAGAGGACCCTAATTAAGAATGGAATCAAGATTCTCTGGGCCATTTAGAGGTCTTTGGGTGAAAGTCTTCTTGGATACAGAACTTTCTGAAACTTCTGTGCCAGGGGCCCAATTATGCAACCTTTTAGTTTATAGATGTTAAGTATAGGTCGATTTCAATCAAAAAGACCAATTTTTTCAACCTCTCCAAGATCAGCTGGTTGGTTTTCTTGCAAAGAGGCGGGATAAAATGGCCCCACCACTTCCTTTTCAGCTCTTCCATGTTCATCTCTCTTGGGCAAGGCTTACAGTAATCCCAAAATTGGGATCAGGAGCTTGACAGTGCTATAAAGTGGTAAACTTTATAACAGGTTCAAGGTTGAGCTTCAGCCAGTAAGACTGCTACCCAAATATACAATAAATATTACTAGTAGAAAGTAAAAAAGGAAGTTTCTGGGAAAGAGAACACACCAAGGTATTTGTGATGCAATGCCAGCTATTTGATAAAATCATTCTTGCCTAAGATTTCTTAAGATAATGTGTTTCATAATTCTGTGAAGGGGCTAAACTACCATCAACCACTTTGTCTCAGAGCCATTAATTTTGGAGATGAGTTTAATCTAAAGTTGGAACAGATATACTAACTGGCTGCTATGGGCTGACCCACAGAAAGCCAGATGGTCTCTCCTTCCTATTCATCTAGGCTAGCAGACATAGGCAGGGAGTTCCAGAACGCTATGGTAGCTGCCCCCAACACAGGCAGAGTTCCTATTTCATACTTATAAAGAGGGGGCCCTCACATCCTATTCAATAAAGTAACTCCTCTACCAGCAAGAGTCCCAAGACAAGTCCTTTACTGTGAGATCAGACTGAAAGGATACATTTACACATCCAGCAACATTTTAATAAATAAGCCATTTGTCATTCTTACTTTCATTGTTCCATTCAGATTAATTTTAAGATTCTTTTCTAAAACTACTATCCTCCCACAGATAAAAGAGAATGAGTCACTGAAGACTGGCCATGAAAATCCGTGGTGGAGGGTTAGAGAGATGAGAGATTCATTTATGTACAAAAATCATCTGTCCTTTGGCTGAGAACATACCAGGTGATCCGTGCCATGAGGGCTTCTCGGGGCAGGTCACTGTAATTTTCAGAGAGCTTCCCAAGCATAAATGTGGGCTTGTGAAAGAAGTGCTGGACATATATTTAGTAAGTTATAGTGCGGGTTATCAGCCGAAGGCTTCAAGGAAACCAGCGCAGGTGTGATGAAAATCAAGTGGCCACATGGGAAGAAATCCCTTATGAGCAGAGGTTTAGGGTTTACTGCTGACCGTGGCAGACGCTGGGAGGGGGGCGGGGGCCGAAAGAGTCCTTTCCTGAGTGTCCTCTAGCATTTGTGCTTCTTCACTCCCGTGCCCGTGCTATCTACACAGTAACAGGGATAAACAAAAACACACAGCCAATATAAAATGTTTCATAATCATAAGCTCTGGTCTGGTTCCTTCTATAGAGAGCTGCATGTCTCCTAGGTGAGGTTATAAAGTTGCAGAATCTGAAAAATGAATCACCGTACATACAAAATAGAAGGTAAAAGTGATCCAGGCTCAAAAGGAGAGCTTCCTTATTTTACAAAAAAAAAAAAAAAAAAAGAAAAGAAAAGAAAGAGCAGATCACAGTTTCTGACATACAAGGCCTTGTCTGGCAAAGGTGCTCTTTCTGGAAGTTTCCCCATCTTGGGCAAAGCAGAAAGGTGGGCACCAAAGTGAGTCGATGTCTAGGAGGCCCAGGGAGCCAAAGGCACTCTGTCTACAGGAGAGAGGCTGACTGCTACTGAGGGTGGCTTCTGAAGGCCCTAAGCCCCAGACGAGTCCTGGACAAGTGAGTGACAAAGGTCCAGGGGAATAGATTCTACTCGGTCCCAAAACTGGGTCCTGAGGGAGACTCCTAAGTGACCAGCTATAGTTGAAGACTAACATGAAACATAATTTCATTAGCTTTTGCTCTAAATTTTATTTTATTTATTTATTTATTTTTAAAGATTTTATTTATTTGACAGAGATACAGTAAGAGAGGAAACACAAGCAAGGGGAGCGGGAGAGGGAGAAGGAGGCTTCCCACTGAGCAGGGAGCCTGATGCGGGGCTTGATCCCTCATGCCCCGAGCTGAAGGCAGACATTTAATGACTGAGCCACCCAGGCGCCCCAAATTAGGTTCTATACACTTATACTTAGATGCTTTAATAAAGAGTATTATGTCCCATCCCTGGATGAAAAAGTAACTTCTCTTCGAATAAATTAATCCAATTCACAGACAATTAGCTAGTGGAACCACAGGGCCATAATGCTGGCACTATTAGTCACCTTGCATTAAAAATCTTGATTTTGGGAACTACCAGTAAGCATAAAATGCAGGGGGGTAGCCTTAGGTCTCAAAAGCTTAACGTTGTGGCCAACATGCTGGAGCTCAGTGAGAGCGATACAGTAAGCTCTTGCATATTTTCCAGTTCTTCCAGAAGGCCGGGCAAACGGAAAGTGCTTTCTGTTCTCGAGGACAACCGGGTCGCTGCCACTAGATCACTAGTCCTGGAACTAAAAATCAGTCAACAGGGACCATTCACACAGCTGAACATTTTCCAACCTGATAACTTTTTATGAACTATTCTCAAGGTTGACTTGATACACATACATTTTTTTTTTTTTTTTACCTCCGGACAATGATACATTTTGCCATCTACTGTGTTCAACTGTGAGAATGTTCACTATGACACAAAGCAAAGAGACCAAGGCCTGGGAAATTGTGTCACTGGCGAATTTAGCCTTGGGACAGGAGGTAGGCCACGTTGCCCATTCTGCTTATCACCTTGGCAGGTTCTCAGAGTTGTTGAAAAGGGTGCGGCCCTCTGGGATACGTGTTCCTGCTCTTGTGGGCCGACTGCCTAGCTAATACCCACGCCACAAGAGGGCAGGCAAATCTGCTAGCTGAGAATGTTCACTCCCAGGCACCCAGGTGTCGTACAGTAGATCACATTAATCTTCTGTCCTTGGATGGGCAGCACTGTGCACTTAACTCCTACAGACAGACGGGGCCATGAAAGGCTGCCCGGATTCTGCCTGTCGGCACCCTGTGCTGCAGGCCCCCCGGGTGCCCCTACCACACACCGTACAAAGTGGAAACTCATGGCTCCCACCTTCACTTCCGAGGGGACTAGTGGAAACATCAGCTCTGGAAGGAGGAGGCAAAGAGAGATAATGTTAAAATACACTGAGTGTGAGGTTCCAGCTGAGTGACTTTACATTATTTTCCACCCCCAGGGTAACATTTTCCATGAGAACTGTTTGGAAAACCAGATGTGTTACATTTTTCCCCTTTTGCTAAGTATCTGGACGCATGGGTGGGAAACACCCAGCACGTGACCTGAGATGCAACAGGTTTAGGGCTAAGTGGCAGTCAGCAGATGCTATTTGAGTTAATCACAGATACTTTATAGAACGAACTGACATCTCTGAAAAATAATAAAAGTGGTAGGTTTTCGAGGATTATTTGCAAAGTAGCATTTTATTTTCTAACTAGATCAACTGCTGGAAAACTCATTCCATGTGCTAAAATCTCCCCAGGGACACTGGCATAATGACAAACTTCCTAAGAAGTGTAATTAAACATTCATTTGAAAGTATAACATCGTTCTTGAGCCATATTTCAGGGGAAATGAAGGGCAGATGGGCATGCAGAGAAAACAGCTCTTTAGTTGTGAAAATCTGATTTGTCTATGAAGAGAAAGCAGACGGGGGGGGAAAGACACACATCCCCTAGGCCCGGGCTCAGACATCAGGACTTTTCTCATTTGGATCCGAGCCAAAGATCTGATGACAGCCCTCTCCCACTCGACCCTTTGCGGCTCTGGGCCAAGGGAGGAGCTGCAGCTGTGGAGTCCAGCACACAGGGAGTGCCCAGAAATGCCTGTGGTCGGGGGGCCACAGCTCCACCCGGGGTCACTGTGCACTTCGGGTCCCCCTGGTCCTGCCCCTCACCCCAGAGCCAAGGGTCTAGGGCTTGGGGCCCCAGGCTCTGCCCTGTAGAACCCTCAAAGAAGCAACTTAGGATTGGATAAGCCTCAGACCAGGAAGTCTGGGAGCAAGAAAGCTTTAACACTGGGTACCTCCTAGGGTCTCAGCACTCCAAACCCACCACAGCTGCTGTTCTGTAGAGAAGAGCAAAAAATCTGGGTGGCATCAATAGTATCTTTTGCTTTATTAAGCAGGGGCCGCCTGCTAAATAATTAATAAATGTGGCATTTGGCAACATTAATAATTATTTCATATTACACACTGAAATCCCATCTCCATATATGCTTTTAATTTTTTTAAGTGTCATCAAATATTTTTATTTCAAGTGGCCCAAAAAGAACCTAAAACACTTCATACATGTTTAGGATTTTAAAAAAATACGTTTTCTTTCCTCCTTATGCATTATGTTGCCAGGTTTGTGATGTTGCCGATGCCCATTCAGCTAACTGTCAACAAAAAAGCCCTGTCCCTTCTTTCTCTGGCCATGAGGAGGGCACTGCACTTGGTAATGTCTCTTTTGTGGAAGAATGGTCAACCTTTCTAAAGCCACAGATTCCTCCACACACCACTCTACATTCCCCCCGCCTTCTCAGGTACGTTTGCTGGCCCCTCCCATTGATCTGATCCTACTATGCCCCTTATTTATACGTGGAAGCCAAATGAACCAATAGGCTGACAATGAAATAGAGTCTTAATGATATGATTTCTAGCACAAACACAGCGACCGGCAACCGCAGGCAGTCAGAGTTTTCTGATCCCTGGGAACACGAGCATATAAAATAAGATGACACAGATATAGACTAGGACTATCCTCTCTTAGATGTGGGTAGAATGGGGGGCTGGGACCTCGGCACCCACCTGCTTGTGGAGCTGTCCCCCGTGCACAGGCTGCAGCCTCGATCCGTGGTCACCAATCTGCACAGGGGAGTGTGGAGAATGCTCTCCCATTGAAAAGCCACAGCCTGGACCATTGTCATCTCGGTCTGGGCCGTCCCCCTTCGGGTCCCCCTGAACTCCAAGCTCACCCAGCCTGGGGAGGGTCTCTGGATGCTCCCTCTGAAAACAGCAGGAGACAATGATCACAACTCCACCCAAATCCTTTGCTGTGCAGCCTGGTTTTTATTGTTTGAGGGTAATTCTCCCCTTTATGGCTTACCAAGTCTTGACTTCTCAGCCCTTTCCCGAATTATCCTCATTTAGCCCATTTCACTCGCCACCTTCTTCATTTAAACACCACACCGTGGGTACCCAATTGGTCAGAAGAGATTAGAAATTTTACTGTTTTTAAATCATTTTGATAATGAAAAATTTTATGATTTATAAATTATTATTGATTATGGTTATGGTTTTATAAGCTAGAGGAGAAGGAAACTTTACAACCACTTCTAGGCTTTGCTTAACAATGGTTTTCTATGTCAAGGCTATTTGGAAGCAGGTTGAATTAATTTTGGAAGACTCTCTTTCCTCCCTGAAGAAAGAGTATCTTCCCCTTCAGAGGATGACTTAAAATTACATACAGTGAAAAGCAGATGAGAAGTCTTTGGGAGCTAAAAGGAAACCTACATTTATGATGCCCTGAAGCAGCTGACAAAGGAGCCAGGTGTGTGGATGCCCAGCACACACCCAGCAGCAGTGGCCAGAAGGCAAGGCCTGAAGGAGCCTGCAGAGCTGGACTGAATCAATCAGAATCAATCAGAAAGCAGATGACTCTGCTCTGGTTCTGTGATGAATCTGGGAATGGAGGCATAAGGGGGAAGCAAACGCACATTTCAGAGGTGGCAAAACCCTGACCCATCTGGAGCCTAGCAGGGAGCCTTATCAAACTGCAGGGGCAGAACGGGCTCTAGCATCTAGGAACAAAAACTGAAATGGAAAGGAGAGAGAGAGGTTCAGAGCTAGGTCTGACAAACCAGCAAGGCAGGACGAGAGACGCACAGGACCTCAGGGTGATAATGTGCATGAGTTCAGAGGTCAGCAGTGGAAGAAACGGCCGCACAACTTTGCCACAGAGGGGAGTTAGAGACAAGAACTCTGAAAACGAGGCCACAGGACAGCGCAGAATTCTTGGTCTAATATAGAACGACAACCTGTTGCATTTCCCATGCCTGGATTGGGCTTGATAAAAACCATCTGAAATAACAGAATGTGACGTTGTGTGTAGGGCGCAGAGGGACAGCAGTGCCTGGGGGTCAAGAACAAAACAGACACAAAGAAAATGAATTCTCCGTGGAGGGTGGGGTGGGGGAGGTACCTCAGTGAAATCCTCGCCTTCCTCCTCCATCTGCTTCCCCTGCCGCCAGTGCTTTAGCAGCCACCTGAGTTTGACGTAGAAAAGGAAAATGTTCTGCTTCAAGGACCGGAGCTCCTGCTGCATCAGATTCCTCTCGTCGCTCCAGGTTCGCTCATGGAGGGTGTTCTGCAAAGCCAGGCTGTGCATTTCTAGTTCTTTCCATCTCAAGGCATAGAGGTGCTCCTCCTCCATCTTGAATGGAGAGAGAGAGACAAGAGTGTGACAGCAGCTATTGCAATTTGCCACCCGAACCAAACCAAGTCTTGGCAAAATGTCACTCAATCTTGATCATGTTGCACTTGGCATGGGAAACACAGACGCCCCCAAAGTTCAGGAAACTCCTTGAGATGCGTACTATTTAGAAAACCTCAAGGGTTTTCTGACTCCGAAGTAAACACTATTTCAAACCAAGATGTTATCGTCAATTCTCATTGTCAAGTCTCTCTTGGTGTTTTTGGAGGTCTCTAAACTTCTTCAGGAAAATTGTTTCTCAGATGGACGCCTTGCAGCTGGCTCCCGTGCAGATTCCCCTTGCCCTCTGTGGGCTTGCAAAAGGCACACTGCAATTGTAAGGGGGGGGGGGCGGTTAAGTGGTAACCCTTCCCCTGGGCTTCCTGAGCCTTCTGGTGTGCACAACCCTCAGGAGAAAGAAGAGACAGCAAGCTGATGGAGAGGCCCACAGAGAGCGGGAGAGCGAGGTGGTTGGGTTGGTGGGGGTGGGGGAGCAGGGATTCTCCCTGACGCAAGGTCCTCTGCTGCATATGGTGGGGGGCAAACAGGAAAGTAAGCTGAGAACCTACTTCCATACTTAGGACTCCCCATTCCTATTGGCCAGGAGTAAGTAGGGAAATAAAGCATTACTGAAAAAGAAGTGTTTTCCATTTCTATGCTAAGTTCCTGCTTTTCAACATGGGTACAGGCACTCTTCCAAGCAATAAACAATGATTATGTCGATAATGACTAAGCCAAGTGGTGTGAATAAAATCTCATTGCACAGATAAGGGCACAAGAATAGTATCAATAGTAGCTAAATGAAAGCTTTCTGTTCCACAGACCAAAAAAAAAAGGGGGTTCGAATGCCAGCCTTGTAGTTATCAGCTGTCCTCTCCCGATTTAACACTCCCTCTTGGCCAAACACCAAGGCACTGAGTTTTGTTTTGTCTTATTTTCCTAAAGTACTCGCTCAGTGCTCAGAAACCATGCAGATGTGACTACGGCTGCCCGCGGTTGACACCAATATGTCCTGTGCTAGCGCCAGTGAAGAGTGAGAGGCAGCTCTGGGAAGATCCCGGGTCTGCACAGAGACTTGTGCGGCCACCGTCATAATACCAGATCTTTTTTGCACTTCAAGCTGAGAGAACACAAAATAGTGGGGATTTAATTCACTTTGTCGGCAGCCCTCGGAGTCCCACGTGTTCTCTTCCCTGTTGGCACAAAAGCAGGACGAGCGAGGAGGGGGGCAGCCTACCATACTGGAAATCCAGCGTTTGCAATTTACTTGCAGTATTATGTCAGCCACCGACTGACGGGGAAGGCTTCAGCTTCCTCGACAGCAAAAGGAAGCTAACTCAAGATGTGCAGAGCGCCTAGCTCATGGCAGGTATGCCAGAGACGCTAGTCTTAGTTGGTGGAGGCGCCGCGCTGGGAGGGGATGTTCTGTTGTCCTCTCATCTGAAGCCTCCTGGAAATGTTCCTTCCTGACCGGCTCTGACCTCCCCACTGCTCTGGTTGCCTCCTTCTTTCTGTTCCATGTCTCCAAGCACATCCCAAGGCCCAGAGTTGGTCCTCTTCCCTCTGATACGTTAGGGAATGTTAGGGATATGTTAGGGAACATCGACCCTTGTTCCCTCTGAACAAGCCTGGATGATCTCTCACCCCCTCCAAAGAAGGTCTAAAGCCTCGTCTTCAACACACTCCTTTATCCTGAATCCAAGTACTAGACACACCTGGGACCCTGCTATTTTGCTATTAGCATCTCCGGGGATAAACTCCCTTCTCAAATATGATTTTTGGTGAAGAAAAAAAAAAAGGTTAAATTATTTAGGAAATGAGTGCTCATGTCTGTGAATCCCTTCTCCTAGCAACTCTGGGAAAGGATTTAACAGATAATGGGTAATTAGCCAGTAACAGGTTATTCTAAGATAAGCTGGAAGAGTTAATAAGGCCGCAGCTCAATTAGTGGCAGTTTTCTGAAGACAACCGTTTAGGGTGAGTTGTTGATATTTCCTATCAAAAAATTTACCTAACATTGAGAAAGCTTACAAATCCGTGGGACAACAAAAGTTATGGACACACTTTCCTGTCCAGGTGCGTGAAGGCCCCTCTTTGATTTTCCTTTGCTGGCTACGGCTGCAGGAAAATGTAGGTTAGACGTTAGGAAGAACTTCCAGAGACCACAATGTAAATAGTGAAAAGCATGTTTTAGAGGAGAAAGATGGACAACTCTCTTTATGAGATGTCCGAGGGGCAGCTCAACTAGACGATTCCCTAGGAGTCCAGGAGCCTGAGTGGGACAGACAGCTCTCTTTCAAATACATCCTGTCATCTGTCTCCAAGGGGCTCCGCGGTCAGAGCCCTGGTTGTGCTGAAATCGGGTTACATATTTACCTTCCGAATCGTGTTTGTAAATTTCTCTGTCTCCTCTTGATGCAGTCTGGTCGCCTGTGCAAGCTGACCCTGCAGCTCCTCTAGCGGTACACTCTGTTCAGGTAAAACAGGGGGCCCTGAGCTGATCGGTGGGATAAAGGAAGGGGTTTAGTGGGAGACGCAGGACAGACATCTGCAAAAGCCAGGGACACACACGGAGCAACACAGCACGGACGGGCGCTGCAGCAGTGGAGTGAGTCCTGTGGCAATTCCCCTGAGGTCCTGCCCGGGGCTCCGGGGTGGTCTGTGGTGGGCAACCCTGGCCACCCTCAACAACCACCTGGGAGACAGGTGCGTAGTGGTGCCTGTCACCTGAACTTGGACCACCATGGTCCCCACCACCCAGGTTGAAAGCAGGGAGCCAGGGTGCGCCAGAGGAGACATGGCCAGCTCACACGAGTTGGTCTCTGAGATTCACCGCCCCAGTTCATTCCAGGTTGCAGCATTCATTTGCTCATAGGCTTAGTGGAGATTTTCCTGCCCCATGGAGGGTGCCTTTGTTTCCTCTGGGCACTCCTACCCTGGGCACTAGGGATGAGCAGGGTGAGGTGCCTTCAGGGACCAGAAACATGCTTTGAATTGCATACGCTGCCTAAGAAGAACTGCACAAAGATCTGCTTTATTACATTTTAGGTTAAAAATAGCTAAAGGAATACTTTTTTATGCCCTTTACTGGTAAAGTCTACCTATTGGTAAAAGCCTGTCTTTTGTGCTTTTATGTCCAAATGGCAATGATCGAGAACTAGGGGCTATTATGTTTTAAGTAAAGTGTATTTTTTAAGAAAGGGAAATGGTTATATTTAAAAATCTCAGGCATCGTTAAAATCGAAACATGACGTTTTACCCACTTGTTTATGCTACTTGAAGACAGGGGTTCATAAATCTGGGAACTAGAGTGGATTGTTGCAATTAAAACAGGTGTCATCCTACTGGTTCATTCTGATGAACTAATCTGTTCTTTCTCACAGAGGACACTGTTCGCTCGTCCTAACTGGATGTGACCTGGGTTGTCAGGACTGAAATTCATGCCCCAAGAACAGGAAATGCAGGGCAGGGGTGGGGGGTGGGGGGGAGCAGATCTCTTCCTTTAGCACAAGGGATGACAGAGAGCTTACAGGAAAAAGGATAGAGACAGAAAATCAGAGACGCTGGGGATCCGCCAACTTTTGGGTAACATTTTTGAAAGCTAGAGATTTAAGCTCATCCTTCTTTCAAGAAATCAAGAACTACTGAGGATGTTCATGCCTCTTTGAGTTCCTCGTTACTAGATATGATTACTATAGACTTTTATATCTACTAGGCCAGGCTTCCGGTTCTGAAAAGAGGGATTTCTCTCCACATTAAATTTATGCCAATGACTAATTTCTTTTTAAGAGAACTACTTTATTGTTTTTTAATATGTGTGGTCTTTTATAGTAATGATTTAATCTTTTCTCCTGTTTGCCTGCCTTTCATAGTTGTGAACACACCTACTTTGTATCTTGAATAGCTATCTGATATTCTAGAATCTGAAGGCCTGTCTTGGAGTGGAACCCTGCCGTCGGCCATCAGCTGACTCTTGATCCAGGTACGTTATTTTTGGCTTGTATGTTTGCCGTTTTGCATTGTGAGCTCATCTTCACTGGGGAGTTAGCTGTGATCCTGTATGTAACCTGGGTAGAGGATGTGCCTTCAGGTGGGTTTTGTGTTTGCAGAAGCCAGCGACAGAACATCAACTCTCCTTTCCCTGGGGACCCCTAGGCCACCGGTGACATCAGTTCAAAGCCAGATCCTGGTGAGGCTGGCTGCCAGTATGGTTATGTGGGGGAGACTTCATGCTGGTAGATGAGCTTCCCTCTACCAGCAGGCAGATGTCTCTCCAGTTGAGGCTTACACAGTGTGCAGCCCTTGGGGGCCCTGGGTCATTGCTCTCTCTGCCTGTGTTGGGCCCAAGGCTCTATGTCTAATAGCCCATGCAGCTATTAAAGCCCAAGGCTCTGGGTTCCCAATTCTGGCAACTCTCCCCCTAATCTGCTTACCTAAAAGCCACAGACACTGCTGCTCTGATGTTCCCTTCTGAAATCAATTCCAACCCCTGAAGATTTTCCTAAATTTTGGGGGGAATTCAGCTACATATTTAAAAAGACATTTTCTATTTTGTGCAGCACTTTATTCAACAAGTACTTACCGAGCACCTATAGTGCTTGGCACTGTACTGGGGATTTACGAGTACATAAAGCTGCCCCAAATCCCTGCCCTCCTGGGGTGTCCCTTCTGGCAGCTTAGGTATTTTGCACAGGAGTGTCTTTAGGTGACCCATGCTACTCTCTTCCCAGCTTTACTTTTTTCAGTTACTCATTAGTCCATACATTTAAGATATAAAAATCCTCCATATTTGGATACATACGATACTAACCCGAGGCTCCCTATGCAGAGATGTTGAAAAAGGCGTCCTAATCACGCCTATCTTTCAAGAAAACCCAAGATCTGTTAATTTAGTTTCTATATATGAAACCGAAGGAGTTAGTTTGGTTTTAATCTTAATAAATAATGTACACAAGCTGATT